CTCATATTCTTATTTATTTATTTTAAAATGTGAAACAAATTTTTGCAAAAGAGAAAAGAAAGACATTTTAATTTCAACGTAACTTTATTACGACGTGGTTTATCGTTCACTCTGATAAGATTTACTCGACACTACTTGTTGGGATATATTTAATCGATTGGCGAAGTCCTGGGAATTTAAAAAAAAAAAAAAGAGAGAAGAGAACAACAAATCCATTTACGACGAAACGAAATTTGTGTAAAGATGAAACGTATACCGCGGCTTCTGCCGCGTTTAAAACAAACACAACCATCAAATCTTTTACGATGCAGCCTTTCGAACCCCTGCCTGCCAGTCTGTTTGCCGTCTTCGTGTAAATACGTATAATTTGCCTACTGTAAATGTATCGCATGCACTTTCGTTCGATTACACAGATCCAATCATATTTGTTTCTCCCTCAAGGAGAATTCTTGCATAAAATTCATCTGAATAATCCTCCTTACTTCAGCTTTACATCGATATTCGATCATTTTTACATAATGCCCGCCATGAGATCCCCTCTCCTCCAATTTTACGTAGTATTCTTTATTTAATATTTCGTATGTATTTGATGTTGGCTTTTGCTAGTTTGACCGCCAGAGTTCCATCAGGTACAGCTCGAGAAGAGCCAGAACGTTGGAGTCCCTTGCGTCGTTGTACGAGGTTTGTATTGCATGCATTTCATCCGTTCCCTTATATATCGTAGCGTGTTCGTTTGCAGACATGTAGTGTAATTGCTAGAAATTTCCCACTGTACAAAATAGTACGACGTTACACACAACAATTCTAAGAAGCATCTTCAAACGTATTAACAATCACGATAGTATCGAAAATTACATGTCCTCACGTCAGTCGGAAGCACCAATGAAATTCATTTTTGAACCTCGCGAGATGAGCTAAATCTACTTTCCATAAACCAGGAGGACGATCTAAAGGCCACGTTAGAAGAATCAGCGGCTTTACAGCGTGCCTACGAGAAATACATCGACCTGGTGATCGTGAACGAGGACTTCGACAACACGTTCAGACAAGTGATAGCCGCGTTGGACGCGTTGGCCACCGAACACCAATGGGTTCCAGTGAACTGGATCTATTAAAAACAATTCAAACTACTTTAAGAAGCGAACGATTCCGGACTAGGGTTCTTAATCCGAATATTCGAATACTCGAACACCAGTAGAATACGGATTTCAACTTGGAACAATTGAACTATTCGAATAATTCGAACGACTCGAATACCGGTAGAATTCCGATTTCAACTTTGAATAGTTCAGCTATTTAGATAACTCGGATATTCGAATAATTCGGGTACTTCGAATATTTCAAGTGTTTGAATTTCAAATTGTACCGAATATTTTGTACATTTCGAATATTCGAATATTCCACATGAAATGCCACTTAATTAGCGTTAATATTATTCTTATTATTAATGGTTAAGGAGGCGTCCACAAAGCGAACAATACTCTGTAAATTTCGGAAAATAACGTTTCAGCAACGAAGGAAGTAACACAAATGAGTCGCTTAGAAACTAAAGTGACTAACTCCGTCGAATTAGATTTATTAAATTTTTTTTTATTTTTGAAGAATTAAGCGCTAAACTTAATATGCTTTGATACTAAAATTGGAAGAATTTTAAAAAGTCGAGTTAATCATTTCGGCTTCTGAGTGGCTGAAATATTACAGTCCCATAAAATCGTTTATGGATCACAGCTCGCCTCGAAATGGAGGCAATCGTTTGTAAATTAGACTATAATTTGTCAATGCATACACATAACGATACATCAATCATATCGCTAACGAGCTACTGATTACGACCAATGCCTTAGGAATATATATATCTCAAACCCGTAGCACTGAATGTGGCTTGTCTTCTCAAAATTACGTATTCGAATACTCGGGTATTCGAAATGTTCGACACAATCAATTCAAACGTTTCGAATATTTGAAATATCCAAATTATCCAAATTACTCGTATTATCAGAATAAAGAGTTCGTATACGAAATTATCTGAATTATCCGAGTAAAGAGTTCGTACTCGAAATTATCCGAATTATTTGAGTAAAGAGTTCGTATTCGAAATTATCTGAATTATCCGAGTAAAGAGTTCGTACTCGAAATTATCCGAATTATTTGAATAAAGAGTTCGTATTCGAAATTATCCAAATTATTCGAATTATCCGAATAAAGAGTTCATATTCGATATTATCCGAATTATTTGAGTACAGAGTTCGTATTCGAAATTATCCGAATTATCGGAATAAAGAGTTCCTACTCGAAATTATCCGAATTATTTGAATAAAGAGTTCGTATTCGAAATTATCCAAATTATTCGAATTATCCGAATAAAGAGTTCATATTCGAAATTATCCGAATTATTTGAATAAAGAGTTCGTATTCGAAATTATCCGAATTATCGGAATAAAGAGTTCCTACTCGAAATTATCCGAATTATTTGAATAAAGAGTTCGTATTCGAAATTATCCGAATTATCGGAATAAAGAGTTCCTACTCGAAATTATCCGAATTATTTGAGTAAAGCGTTCGTATTCGAAATTATCCGAATTATTTGAATAATTCGACTATTCGAAGTTTAACAGCCCTATTCCGGACATCACAGTCGAAACAGGTAATTAACGCGTTTAACGCCCGTTGGAGAACAGAAAATATCGACCTTCGTACAAGTCGAGTGCATCGTTATTACGACCGTATTTATAGTACCGTCGTGCAATACAACAGTTTTATGCTCGTACTACGTGTATACAATGTTTTTTTAACGTGTTGCGTACATCGCGTCCCGTTCGAATGTATAGATACTTTGAAGTTAACGACGCACTTGACACGAGTTCGACGACGAGTATACGCGTGATTTCTTCGAACGAGCGAGCAGTTCTGTTTCCAAAATAACGTCGACATCCTCTACTTGCGATTAGAGAAATACTCGGGCTATGAGGGCCAGCGGGAGGCAAGCGTCTCGCGTTTCAACGCCGTTTCTAGTAAGTACAATCAAGTAGCATTTACGTTAATTTTGTTTTAGGTTTACAAAACGATCCGTTCGTTTGCTAAATTTCGATTATAATTGCACACACGCGAGATAACAAAGTATCACGATTTTGTAAAAAATGAAAAAAGTGTGACACGGTAGGGAATTAGGTACGCTTTGCGCTAACACAATTATTCCTCCACACGAATTACATAGTATAATTTCGCAGAATATTCTCATGTACATTCCTCATTATTGACAAAGATTAATGAACGGGTCGATTAAAGTAAGCATTAGACCGCCGTCCAATTACTTTTAGGATACGCCTAGTTTTAATTTATACAACCACGAGCCTGCATACTTTACGTGTACGTACGTTTATTTACCATTTGTCGTAGTATGTACTTTTGTTTCTTTTATAGAGATAACTGTAATACAGGATATTTCAATAGGTTACTGATAAATTCGTACAGCGCATTCGGTGTATGAAATAAATGAAAAGCGTTTATACGAACGCAAACACGGTTTCATATGAACTTCTCTCATCTATTTCACCTCTTGAATACGCTGTTTCAATTTCACACCAATATATTAGAACACCCTGTATAATATATAATATAATTATACAGAGTGTTCCATAATTACTAGTACAACCGTGAAGTATGGAATAAACCGAAAAGTAAACCGAAAGTATGGAATAAAATTTTGTTATAAGAAGCTTAATTTTTGAGAAAACTGAATTCAAATATTAACTTCTCTCTTCTGCGTAGACTATTTCTTCTTCTTTTTCTTTTTTGCGAAGTATGGCATTGCCGCTGTTTTCTTCAAAACTATGCTTTTTATAATAAAATTTTATTCCATATTTTCAGAATCACAATCTTCACAGTTGTACCATTAGTTACGCAACACCCCGTATATATTATATACGCGTATTATACATTATGTACTTCATGGATCCTGTTTTGCATCGCTCGTGCACGCTGAATATATTCCTGGCATAGAGTGCCTTAATAGCGCAGCCCTTTAACCGGCTTGCGGCGAAGACCTACTATGTCGAGACGAGATATTCTCTTATACTCGAGAGTTTTACGTAAGGCGCGACTAATAACACGTTTTTTCTAATACTCTGACACGTATATGCACACGTGGACACAGCCATCGCTGTATGTGTGTCTGATTGGGAGCATTCCCGATCGTGCCACGTAATACACGAAAAAATAAAGTTTATCGAGCGTTTGTTATGAATACAAATCACTACTAACCTTACCATCAACTCCTTTATCACAATCTTATTTTACCGTTGATTTATCGACACGATTATCATTCGTTATCAAGTATCGCAATGGTGATATTTCTTGAAACGAACAATTGAATTTTTTACAATTGTGTCCCACTTTTTTGCTTTCAATATTTGAGAATTTTGTAATTTACAAGTATTTGTACAATTTGAAGGTTAGGAAATATATCGTTATTTTAATATTTGAACAATGTAACGCAACTGTCAAAATAGTTCTAAAGACTATTAGATAACAATATTTGCACCTACAATTCTTTTATCTAATGATCGTAACATGAGATACCGTACGTTTAACCCTTTCGTGAGTAATGAGACGCATATGTTCCTCTTGAATACTCGAACAAAAATTAATCTCAATTTAGTATCGATTATCGACTGATAAATAAGAAATTCTTAAAGAAAGTAATTTGATCATAAAAAAGTTAATTCCATGCACTTTTTATAACAACCTAAAAAGGATTATTCGTTTGTAACCTGAACTCCTTAAGAATAAACAAATTTAAATGAATTTAATGAAGGAATCCGAAAAACGATTGGTCGACAAATGCAACTTATGCATCGGGAACGACCAATAGGGTTCTGCCGCCTGCCACGTTTCCGGATTTGTCGCGTTGTCACATATGAGTTGCGGGAAAAGTTAGCAAGCCGAGCGCAGTTCGGCCACGGTTCCATCCGTGTTAACGAGTTTATTTTATTGATAGAACAATGCAAATATTACGACAATTAGATGTGCACCCAAAGGTGCGCGAGGAGGCGGATATTCTCGTGCGAACTTTCAGTGGTGCTGTCGGTAAAGCGTTTCACTTGTCAAAATTAACACAAGTACCGCCTATCGGTTCTATCGTTCTACCAGCTTGTAATATATTTCCTAACGAACACATTTATTTTCTGAGATCGTCATAACACTAAAAACACATTTAATAATTTTAATCGCATTCGCAAACATTGTTTTCTTGATCATGTGGCGCGATAAACAGACACTTAACCTCAATACTTGACAATATTTGACATATTTTGGAGATTCCTTTTGTTCCCTGGTCTTTTTAATTGAATATTATCTAACGTTACTACTTGTTAGTACTACATTTCAATTTTGATGTATCTTGTTTGTTAAAATTTTCTACTATCCTATGGCTACTGTTTACATTTGACGTCGAGCGTAAATGAAGTTTATAACCTACGTTCATTCCTTGTGTATGATTTCAGTGACGATTATTAGTACCATTATCATGGGCATATTGTTTTTATCTGAAGTGAATTACTACCTAACACCCACCTTGAGTGAGGAACTATTTGTAGACACTTCAAGGGGTTCAAAGTTAAGAATTAACTTAGATATAATAGTTCCTGCAATATCTTGTGATCGTAAGTGTATATCATCTTGTACATACAAGTGATAGATCATGGTAGCAAATGTATTAAATGAAGTGCATTGCAGTTCTATCAATAGATGCAATGGACACAACAGGTGAACAGCATTTACAAATAGAGCACAATATATTTAAGAGACGTTTAGATTTAAATGAGAAACCATTAGAAGATCCACAAAGAACAGGTATAAGCTTATTGCCTTAATGAGACTTGAGAATATTTAAAGCAAATAAGATGAAATGAATACTTTTTTGTTTCTTGACTTTATTATAGATATTACTGACACAAAAGCACTTAACAAAACAACAGCAAAGGTAATTGAACTATTTGTTATTCTTATACATGTTTTTACAATTTAATTTTCTTAAGTTCTGCTAACAGAAGCATATATTAAATTTTTCATAGGCAGTGGAAAGTACTACTGTTAAAGCATGTGGGGATTGCTATGGAGCTGCTAATGAAACTACAAAGTAGAGTATTACAAAAATGTATGAATGTATTTTGTAATAAACTTTTCCAATTACAATTAAATTAACTCTGCAGGTGTTGTAATACTTGTGAAGATGTAAGAGAAGCCTATAGACAAAAAAAGTGGGCCCCTCCAGATCCAGGAATAATAAAACAATGTCAAAATGATAAATCTGTAGAAAAGATGAAAACTGCCTTTACTCAGGGATGCCAAATCTATGGTTATATGGAAGTAAACAGAGTTGGAGGAAGTTTCCACATTGCACCAGGAGATAGCTTCTCTGTTAACCATGTACATGGTAAATTAAATAATATATTACTACCTTTTACATGAACTAAAATTTTTATATAATAATATAATATCTATCATTGTTCTTACAGTGCATGATGTTCAACCATATACATCAACTCAATTTAACATGACCCATAAGATACGCCACTTAAGTTTTGGTCTAAATATTCCAGGAAAAACAAATCCTATGGATGGCATGACTGTAGTTGCGTTCGAAGGTATGCCCTTGCTCCTACAAATTTTTTATTATAAACTTAACAGAATATTCTAGTATTACAATCCTTTGTGTCCTAAACATCAAAGATAACAGTCTTCAAGTACTAGCATCTTATTCCAGTTCCTATGGCCATAAATGTACCGAATGTTCCACCTCCTTGAATCATTGCTTTTCCAACGTTGTTTATCAGTTCCCTTCCTCTTAATCCATATCTGGCAATAAATATTCCATTACCTTTTTATTTTAACACTTCCTGTCAATTTACTCGTCGGAAATAAGTGTATACCTAAGGGCAGAATATCCCCCAAACAGAGCACCAGATGCCATGCCAACACAAAATCCAATCATAAAACCCAATTTCATCCTATCCCAGCATGAAGGAGCTTGTTGTTGATACATTCCTGGTACGACCGGCATTTTATTCTACGAATATACAGTTTTTGATAAAGACACATGCAATGTTAACCTATTTCCTATACAGCTGTTTAGTTACAAAAAACTAATTGCGAACTTTTTTGAACGAATGTACAATGCAGAATTAACCTATGATCAATCATTTAACACGTAACTTATAAATAATGCATTGCAAAATTGCTTCTATCAGTTGTTCCCGGTATAATTCGGACAAATTGCTTTTGTTTTGCATGTGAAGAAATTCGTAGTCCATAAATATGTCCTTAAACATTAATGTCACTCACGATTTAAGTGCCCGCTGTTGAAACGTGTACTGCGTTTTTGCTTTATTACGATTTTTGTTTTTTATAGCTTATAAATCCTTTGCACGATTCTTTCAACACATTGCTCCAACAGAGTAGTATAGGAAAGACGCCATATTAGTTTTTTCGTATACGATGCGCGATGAGTACTTTCTCTGCTTCCGTCTTTGTGACGTCACACGTAATGGCGGGCTATTCAAATTATGTTCAAATATTTCACACGACTACGCTTTTTTGAATAACCTCTCACTTTCACTTTTGTAACATGAAACTGTTGAATCTTTTTTTCACTACACGTACACGTGTTATCGCAATTGAAGCTCTATGCAAATATTTCGTTGTTTTTGTTTCAGGTGCGACGATGTTTTATCATTACATCAAAATTGTACCTACAACGTACGTGCGTGCCGATGGCTCGACATTATTAACGAATCAATTCTCTGTAACTCGACACGCAAGACAAGTGTCTTTGTTTAGCGGTGAATTAGGAATGCCTGGAATATTCTTTAATTACGAGCTAAGCCCATTAATGGTAAAATACACGGAAAAAGCGAAATCGTTCGGCCATTTTGCGACTAACGCGTGTGCAATTATTGGTGGCGTATTTACTGTTGCGGGACTGATAGATTCGTTGTTGTATCATTCAGTCAGGGCAATACAGAAGAAGATAGAACTAGGAAAGTATAATTAAAGTCTAGATCGGCCAATAGGTACGAAATGTATTATAGGACGTTGAAGGATATTTTTTACAATGGATAACAATGATTTGAACTATGCATGTGTGTTGTAAAGTAGCTTTATCTTTTATCAAGTTTATTATTAAAGAAAAAAAAATACTAGTCTAATAATACAAGCTCTGTTGGTTTTTTTGTATCATCTCAGATGGTATTGGCATAAAAGATTAAACATTTTTGTGTAAGATATACAAAGCTGTACATAAAAATCTATAGAAATATGTAAGGATATCTAATATTTAAGTAAAATAAAGATTACGCTGCTACAAAGAGGAAGGCTGAAAATGTAAACATTTATCATGATACAATTCTATTTATATTAAATGTTGTTGCTTTATACATTAAAAGGACTTTAAAAATTCATTGTAAGTAGAAACAGAAGCTTTTGCAACATTTATACAAAAATCCGTATCACTACCTTCAACTAAAGCTAATGGGGACACATATAAGGGTTTTTTAGGATCATACTGGTTTCTTTTTAAGTACGCTAAAAACTGATCTCTTTTCTCAAGTCTAGGTCTTTTACAAAGTAAGACCTTTGGTTGCTGACTTATAAGTTTATGTGGTAGTTCCATATGATTATGGAGGTAATCAAAAGTTTCCACCACTTTACTTCTGGCTAAAATTAGAATAAAAAATATTTTTTACTTATTAAAATTACATAAATATTTTACTATTAACATTATTGCCAGGGTTATAATTTGTACTCATTTCAATTACCACGGATCCATACATGAGGTGCATTCAGCAAAATTAGTCTCATTTCACGTGTATTAAAACACATTTCTTCTTTTACAGCAAAGGTACTGTATTTTATACGTTCCATGTCATATGTTATAAGTTTCGGACTGTGCACAGTTAAACACCTTACGTCATGACCACTTAACTCAAAAGTAACTTGAAAATGACCCAATCTCGTATCTATTTCTCTTGTATTGAAAGATAACCAAGGAGGATGTCTAGTCAATATCACTTGTATCATTTCTGAAGTATAATTATGAGCTTTTAAATATCTTATTCTTGTATAAAGGTCATCCATGTCCTCCTTGAATATGTACGGATTTTTAGTGATAAAGTTTCCAAGATTTTCAGAGCTTACACCACAATCATGTAAAAATTGTATGTATGGTTTCATGTGTTTGTCAAAATCAAGACTCAGAATCATTTCTATCACATCTCTGTCGCGTTCTAATTTGTATAGCTCAACTCCTAGTTTGACTAATTGTTGGATGGTATTTGAACGATCTGCATATTTTGCAAAATTATAAGTTGGTCCTAACTCAGGTACAATATGAGAAAGGTCTTCGGTACATCGATCTAATGGTCCTGGTAATTTTATATCTATATCTTCTAAAGCATCACTAAACATATAGTTATTTCTTTCTAATAATTCAACATTATGTGACATTTGCAGTTCATTATGCATGTTTGTATTATTATTATCACTCTCAGTGTTTGCGTTATCTTTTGTTAACCTCTCAATGTGCCTGGTATTATTAGGTGTAGCGTTCTTTGTTAAATGACAGTCTTCAACAGTATACTTTTGTATTTCATTTTTTAGTGTATCTTCTGTAGAATGTGCAAATAGTCTGAAATTTTTTGAAACATTTGAAGAAATAAGATTTGTAGCTTTGTCGGTTTTGCAGCGTGCCAAGCGTAGTAGTACAGACGATCGTGAAAACACCATATTTAATAATGAAATTAAAGCATAGATGTACAATTATTAAGTCACAACGTTAGAAAAGCATAAGCAGTAGAATTTTTTTTACACTAATCTACTTGCATTGTATGTGCAAATTGCTACACAGTACTATGTATACAGTAGCGATATATATTTTAGAAAATATTTCGATATATCGAAATCGTGTTTGCAAGCAGCCAATAACGTTGCAGACTGGTAGACATCGATACATAAAAACTGGTTTTTCAATGTTTCATCGAATTTCAGTGGAATGTCAAGTTAATTGAAGGTGTGTTTGAAAAAATAAAACAGTTTTAACAAGAAATACTTTATTATTAGTCACGCTTTAAATAGTACGACGGCAAGAAGTTGATGTACACAAATATACAACACAAAACGATGCTTACTTGAATGTAATATATTCGTAATATTCTTTTATTAAGATCACGTTTTTGAAAAATTTATACTCATTCATACATACATACATATGTCGTACATGTATATCTAGACCCATTATTATCTAATTATGCCGTTTTTTTTACCAGCTTCTTGTAACAAGCAATATGTGTTACAATAATAAGTACATTGGTAATGTTTTGAGAACACTGCTTTGTAATGAATACTTTAATATTAAAATAAAAGTGGAGAACTGTCGGAATGTACCTTAATATAAGATAGTAATATCCTCTCGAGGATCGTATGACATTTCATAATTTTCAAACTGCGTGCTATCTCATGTTGGAGTATACTGTTAATTCTGAATAAATAAATTATTTCCAAGATTTCGAATTCATTTTCTAATATAGTATCGGCACGGAATTGGAAGTACAATCTAACAACAGTGTAACTAGTCAACTTCAACATGAATTACAGCAATGACTATGTCGGCAGTAGCGTTTTAAAAAAGTGCTATGTTGAAAATTCGCCGAAATTTTTAATGCTATTATATACCACGCTACTTGTGGTAAGAACAAGCTGACGCTTGTTTTATAATCGTGTACATTTTCATATTTCATTTTTCTCACTTCTTGTCATTTGACTAGAAATATTACTCCTGCTTATCTCTCACAACAGTTTCATTTACATTCCCAGACTCATCTAATTCCCGATTTCTTGCTTGTTGCCTTAATTGAGCTCTTTTCAAACTGATCATTATTTGACCGGATTGGTAAAGCCAGCTAGCCTGAAGATAAGAACAAAGAACAATGAAAAAAGAATTAGAGAATTATATATGCAATTAAAGATATACAAGTTTATCTTAAACCTTATTAGTTTTTATCTACTTACAATCATAATCATACAATTCATCAAGATAGGCACAGAAAATACTACAGATATGAAGAAACCATTAGAATCAAAATACTGCTGTCTTGAGAACAACCTAGTGAAATGTTACACCATTATATATTTTACAATTTGAACACTTCATTGCATTATAATCTTCTACCATTATAAGATACTTACATCCAGTTAGATGCAGCAACTTCGTTGATACTTTCAGAGAAATACACCAATAATACTGTAACACAAATAAAACAATGTAATAAAACAGCAAATAGTAGATGAATCATTTGTAATATAAAATATACTTACACAGAGCAAGAAACAGCATAATTTGAAAATTGGCATGATTCCGTGTCATTAATGCAGTCATTGTAACTGCGATATGAAAAGTCAATAGTAAAGCAAGCCATGGATCCCTCCATTCAATCTACAATCAATTGTAATTTAATTGAAACAGTAGCATCTCTTTGTTCTTCTTATAATGGTATTATATAAACAAATACAAATACTTTGTACTGGCAAAAGAAAAAGAGCATTGAAATTCTACAAAAAAAAAAAGAACATAAAAGTGCGCGAAATTAAATACACATTTACAAGTCTACAATCTACATAATTACATATAACTTATGTATTAAATATCACATGATTATATTCTAAATGGTTCCCGCGACTCGATCGTTCACGTTTAAAATACTGCCAAATCATCTCCATCAAACGAAAGCGGGAACGTATCAATTTCACGATCGATCCGTAAACCTGCACAATATTCCTACCTCCAGAAACGAGTTACAAAAAAAAAGAAAAAGTTGAATTGTGGAATGAATTAACGAAGCGTGATGCATGCACCAAAAATAGGTATCGATGAAAATATCGGTCGATTTTTATTCGATGTTTCTCGTTTCTTGCTATCGCAACAGGACTCATACGGATCTTGTCTAGTGGCATGTAGATACATCATATGTCTAATAAAATCTGGATAACCGTATCTGTAAGCAATCTGGTTGACATGTGCGCTAAGTGTTCTCGCATTGACACTTTTCACCGGCCGTCTGTTGAAACCGAAAGTGGCTGAGTATGAAAGGAGAGAGAAAGGAACGTCGTTTCGATAGCTCGAGGCACGTCGAAAAGAAAAATCGAAAGGCGATAGTGGTCCGGCAAACGATGAGACCCGTGAATGTGGAAAATGAAAGGAAATTGCGGCACTCACGCTCTGCAAGAATGGCAGAATACCGTCGATTAAGGATTGCACTTCGTCCTCCGACATCGTAACGCTGACAAAGAAAAACTGCACATCCGCGATAGAAATTCGGGCCGCAACGGCCTTCCGCAATCTCCTCTTAATCGACTTGGTCGCCGACAAAAAGGGACGAGCGACGCGAAACACAGATAAATGCCGCGAATGCGGCGACACACGGAAAAAACAAATATCGCTGGAGGAATTGTTCTCCCTCTTTCTCTCCTGTGTTGTTTCTCGCCCGTTCTCGTTTTAACGCATACACATGAATGTACGCGGCCTTAACATGGCACACGTTTGCGAACATAGAATTCGCCGTATGGCCCTGCAGCGCCATCTACGGGTGTATTGTGTATCCAAAAACTGTGTCAACGGTCGACGATATGGTATCGATATCGAAGCGCCCCCTGCTAAAAGTGCGCGCGATAATGTACGATAGCTCAAAAATAAACGCGATTCAAAATGGTCCTTGTGATTATGTATTTTTTTGGTGGCCTTTTTGTATGAAAGCGGCGAGTTTTCGATAGTTTTTCAACGAGTGTAAATAGTAATTAGTGATTCAGTAATTAGTGATAAATTCAATCTTGCAGCGTAATTTTAACAATGAAGATTGTTTATAAGACGATGCTCAAGCTGCGTGGACTGCAACAAAAATGTAAACTGGTACAAAAAAAAAAGTAATACATATTTTGTTGCGATTGAATCGATACAATTGGATTAAAAAGGGCTTCCCCAAGCAGCGACCATACTCGTTCGGTCACATGTTGCGCAATGCAGGTACACGAATCTAGATACATCAAATGCAACATAATCTCCTAACCTAAATACCCGATTTTAATCTTTCGATCATTTGTGGAATACATGAAACACTATATGTTAGAATATTCTAACTATTTGAACTCTAGTATTATTGTTAGAATATTTTTACATAATATATCATTAAAATTCATTGACATCGTTGCATTAAAATATGAACTTTAAATTAATGTATCGAATGATCGACATTTTGACTTTTATTCGTCTACTACGTAAACCATATGACAAACCACGTGATCCCTTCACGTGGTCTCTCTCTTTAGGAGGGAGAATACATCCCACCGTTCGATTGTTTCAGTATATTCTACGTTTATTAGTACACGTCTGCATATATTCCATTGACAATATTATGAAAAAACGTAACAAGTTCAGCTTTTCTGTTATTTCATAACAATTATAGACATTTAAAAATAGAAATATTTATGCGTACGAAACGTTAAAATTATCATTGAATGAAAATGGTTCGCACAAGATTGGTAACATGTATTCATTTGTAAATCGCATACGTATACATTACCTAGTTGCGATATTTAAAAATGGCGGCGGTACTTGTGGAACGGAAACATCCGGGAAATGAAACGTGACAATTTCGAGTTGATCGAAGTAAAACTTAATTTTATTGAAATTATTTTGCATAAATAAAAAGAAAAAAATAACGACTGGAGAATTTTTATTTAATCTCAATTCTTATACATTCCTTAGAGTGTACCAATGTAATGTTTAACAAAACGTATTGATTTTTTTTAGAATACGTGTGCCACTTTGAGTTACTAATTGCAACATCGGAATGTTTGCTTTGGTGGTTACTTTGTTAACCTTGGCTGGTGTTAGTTGCAATATCTCTTTTCTTTTTGCTTGCTGCGTGGGCATAACAGTGTGCTTATTGCAGCGTACTTATCGTAAACTTCGTGAAGTCATTCGTTTGACTCACAGGAATTATTGTACTGAACTTTAATCATGCTCCTATCTCGCCGAGAGCACACTGGTCAGAGATGTGACCTACCGGCGATCAAGGAAGCGAATTTATTCGAATGAATGATTCATTTTTCGTTAACTGTAACTCGATTGCAAAAGAATGTTACGTGGAAATTATTTAATAGCAACTTTTTACGTATTGACGTTATCCACTATGTGTTTTTTTATTATGCGAATATTAATCAATCTAACGATAAGACTGTCTCTGAATTCTACAAATCAATCAAAACATATTAATACATAAAACGATTACCAACATATGGTTACGTTATATTTTTTATCGTGCTCCAGTATTCTTACCGTTGTATGAATAAGAAATCGATTACAAACAAATGAAATTTTTTGTTTTTACCGAAGAACTAATTCTTTCATGTGGTATTAGGGGGAAGCGGGGTAATTCCGGCCACTTCAATTTCTTAAAATAAAACACGTCTGATTAGACTTTGTACGGTACTGCCACTTGGTAATGATGCGGCTAATTAATATTCATCGTTTCTGTTACTATAGCAGCCTTTTATTTTAAACAATACTTGAACGTTCATTTTGCAACGTAACCTTGTAACAGTGGGTAATTTTTAAGCAAGGTAAATTAGTACTTGGAATCGATATAAATTACTAATATTAATTTCATTAAATAGAGAAATGTTTCTACCTTCAAACTCACATTTGGTTTTTTTCTGATATGTAAATTCAATTCGGTGTATTACTTGAAATATCTGAACATGACGTGTGGGGCAATTCCAGCCAGGTTTTTACATTGCAAAGAATTACAAAAAGGTAGTTTATATTTACAGTAGTTATCATTTTCATCATATTCACATTATCTCAAGTTATGGTTTTCCAAATGAAAATATTTCTAGGTTCTAATGTTGCTACAAGAATTGGAAGAAAATCAAGAAATTCAGTTAGCAGAAAAAGCGAAACCACTGCCAATTACTGTTTTAATTTGAAAACAAAAAGTAATAAAATTTTTTATTAATTTTAACAGTTTTCTTACCTCTTTCACAAAGAAAAACCAAATGACCTTTTTTCGTTTCACGTCTCTAATTTTATTACAACGCAAAATGTATGCCTCCTCGACCATACTAACACCAACTGGACTCTTCAAGCTATCGATTAATATCAAAAAATTAACAAATGTGTAACTTGTTCGAATTTTATAGCATTTCTTGCTTATGTAGCCGGAATTACCCCGCTCTCCCTAAGTAATTTTCAAGTTTAGTGTTAACGCTGTGTTTGTTATTTGTATTGGGAAATTGTGACGCCAAATAAAAACGCCACAGTTGTTTCGCAACATTTAGTAACCATTTGTTTACCTATCTGATTACAATCGAATTTATACTCGGTGGATAAGTCTTCTCGATGCATATACAGGGTGTTTCCTTCATCCTGAAAAATTGGAATATCTCGCGAAGGACTGAACCTGTGAAAAGAATGTTTGAACAAAAGTTGCTTGCTACTTAGGGGGACTTCGTATGGTGCAAATTATTTTTCTGCAGGTCCAGTGGTGGGGGGAAATTTCACAGTCAAGTTCATTCTTTTAAATGGAACTACATATTATTACGACAACTACATATTAGAACCACAACGACCTGTCGTATGAGGTAATGTTATAAATTCGTCAGTTTTCAAGGAGCCGTTGCCTATTAGGCTTCACGCCACGCTGTAAATAAAGATCGAACTTATCTCCCATTTTACCGACTTAAATAAGCAAAGTTTAGCTTTACTTACTAACGTTCGATAAAAGAAGAAAAGAAACGTGTAACATTTTACAACAGTAAATTACCTCATATGGCAGGTCTTAACAAGTGCTACATACGCATATATAATAAACGTTTCTTTTAAAAAAATGAACTTGATTTTGAAATTTCCCCCACCACTCGATCGGTAAAAAAATAGTTTACACCATACGGTGCCCCCTTCGTACCAAACAACTTTTGTCGAAACATTTTCTTGATAGGTTCAGTCCCTCGCGGGATGTTCCAGTTTTTCAGGATAAAGGAAACACCCTGTATATCCAGATTTGATGATAAATAAGATTTAAAGGTACAAACTCTACGATTTTTTATCGTATTAAAATAAAGAAAAAAACATACCTCTGAAAAATATATTCCCGATAACATGGATCTTTCTTCGCCATCTTTATTTTGTTTTATCCATCGATGCAATCTTTCCATCGTCAGCCACGAACAAAAAAATGATGTACATGCTCGTTGTAAGATACGAGGAAGCGCGAAGATCAAGAGGCCAATGCTCTCAGCACAATATCTAACCCCCATTTGCGTAATTATAGCCAGCGATAAATCTGCTCCAAAACACTTTCTACACGTTTTCTTCAGTTATCACGCTAAACAGAACCAAAAAGACAAAGCGACATTTATCGCCAAACATAAGACCAACGTTTACTTCAAAAACAGATTCATAATAGAATCTTGTGCATAAACAACTACGTACAATCTCAAATAAAGGAAATTCTAAGAAATCGTCTTATCACGTTCAAGATCGTTTGATTCACCGAGGAAATTGGACCCATTCTGGATTTGAGGATAAATGGCCAGCCTGTACAGTTCCAATTACTTTACAACCGTTTTGGCTAATTTAAAAAGGAATATTTAATCATGTACAGTACTGCTCAAAAGTTTCGACCGTGCTTTGATTTTAAAGTAAACAAAGTTTTATCAAAAATATTATTTCTGTATAATAATAAAACTCAGTTGTAATTAAAATCAACGGTGTATTACTGCGATCAATCTCGGACAAGGAACATTCCACACAACCACTCTGTCACCTCCTCATCCATCAGGATGCTCCTCATCCTCGGTCCACGTTAAAATGGCGGCGCCGGCGTGTTCAATTATTCCATACACCTTTTCCAAGAACTTAACCTTCTCTTCACAGAGACTCGAAAGGCTCGTTTTCTTAAACATCCTTCTTCAAGCTTCTCCAAAGTTCACCAGGAAGTCAATTTTCTCACCCTCGAATTACAATTTCTCCAATGGTGTCCCCTCAACAGAGTTGAAAATCAATTTTCCTGTGATCTTCGAATGTGTTGAAAATCAATTTCTCCCGTAGGCCGATGCTTATCGATGCTCATTGATTCACTGCACGCGATCAACCACGTTTACCGACGCTCGTTTTATCAGGTGACGCGTTACCAATGTGTCTCATCTTTCGAATGTAAGTAAGTACACTAGGCAGCTTGAAATCGGCTGTTGGAACAGTCACGGAATCGGACTGTGTGCCGGTTGGACTTTGAGCGGTCAAAGATTGGATCGAGATGGTGGACAAGAGGAGGCCTCCTTCTCCTCCTACAAGATATATCGGGTCACAGATATATCGTGGTCGTCCTGCTGCGAGGATCGTTTTGTTGGTCGCCACGCGTTGTAATCGGTTCGTCCATCGTATTAGCTAAAGAAGAACAATGTCGTTCGAGTTACAGCTGCAACCGCCGGGACCGGAAGCCCGCGCCCTGGCCGTAAAGGAGCTTCGAGAAACCGAGGAGGTCGTGAAAGAGGGACTCGCTGGCTTGAGGAAGTACCTCGAAGGTGAGTTTACATTTCTCTCTTAGTCATTCTTTATGGTCTGTGACAGTTCATTCTTGAGGTTTGAAATTTCAAAGTGAACTGGAGGGAGGAATTTTTCTGTGAAATATTTTCACGCGAGCGTTTCATTCGGTGTGAATGGATTTCTGACGGAGAGATTCATTTTTGAAGCTCTGTAATATTTTTTCCGCGGTTCGGAATAGTATTCAGGGATCCAATGGATTTTGGATGTTTTTCTTTTACTTCGAGTATTTGGTAATTCTCGTTTCCTTTAGTGTGACTGAATTTGCGGAAGTCTAGAGGTCTGGAATTTTTGTTTCCTCCAATGTGACTGAGCTTCTGGAAGTTTGAGGATAATTCTGAGAATCTAGAATTTTTGTTTTCTTTAGTGTGAGGGAGTTTTTCGGAGTTTGAGGAAGTGGAAGATTTTACTTCGAGCGTTCGATAAAGTTTGTCGTAGTTTGAGGGCGGCTTGTTTTTCCCAATTCATATTCAGTAGTATAAAAATGGAGATCGAAGTTTATGAAAGAATTGAAAAGTTTGATTTTCCTTGGTGGAAATGATCGAGGATCGTTTACTTCGTTATCGAGCTCTGGTTAATCGAGCCGGTGTTAATCTACTCGTGGCTTTATCGCCTGTCAACAAACGAACAATTGGATTTTGACGTCATTTTACACGCACCTGTGAAACCGAGGAGCGTTTGACAGCGTTTGCACGAGTTTCAACCAGATTCGTTGTTTCGTCGAAAATGTTCTCCTTAACGCTGTATCCTCGTTTCCCTCCGTTGTCCCACGCTGTCGATAATATATCTTATTTTTGAATTGCCCACTGCACGATACTACACTGTGCACGAAAATATTCCATCCGCGCGGCTTTATCAACATCGTGGAAATCTTCCCTTCGAATTCTGTCCACTTTTTCGCGTTGTCTAAATCAAATAATTTTCTAGCGATTTAAATGGCTACATTCAAGTTTGACCTCTATCACGTCTCTGTTTTGCAACGACTTTGAGAAAAATGGCGTTCAAAGTCTGTTCGACTTGAATCGCAACAAACACAAATAAAATGGCCAAAGCGTCACTGAAAATCACACGAAGAAATGTAATTTTTATTTAATATCTGCTTCTATTGATATTCTAACGAATTACAATGATCGTTAATTTTTTCTGTCAATTTTGACGGAATAAGAAATTTGTTTGAAATTATAATTTCAAAATATATATATATAGAACATTGACACGATCTGAACCGGTTAAAATGATCAACATACAAAAGCTTCGCTGTAAATCATACGAAGAAAGGATAATAAGTTTTATTTAATATCTGTTTCTATTGATACTCGAAGGAATTACAATAATCGTTAACTTTTTCTGCCGATTTTAATGGGGTAGAGAAAAAATTCGTTTGAAAGTGTAAATCGGTCGTTTAAATCGATGTTTTAACATATCCAGAACATAGGCACGATCTAAAACGGCTCCTGAGTGCATCAGAATGTAAACTTAGGGTCATGCTCCTTTCCTCGATAACGTTTTATCGCTTTGAAGCCAGTAACGTCAGAGTTCGTTGCTTTACTTGCTTCTCGAGGTACTTGCTAGAGTAAACAACCTGCATCTACGATCGAGGATCGCAGATAACCGAATTGATTCCAAATTCGTTGATAAAAACGTGTACCTTGACCCTCAACGACGATAAAGAACGAAGAGATCCGTACACTCAAGATAAAGTTCTTGATACATTAGCGTAGAATCATGCTGATAACACCGCGAATTGATAACAACTTCGACTAGTGACAGAGATGGCGATGAGGCAAAAAAAGGAAATTGCTCACTTTGTCTCCTGAACTCTTTTATAGATACAGTTCGATTTTTATCACGTTTCTATTGAATGATAGAAATTAGTTACAGAAGATTGGTTAGAACTGTGTAATCTTTTTATTGGCTACTTGTAGCTTCTGATAACGTGTAGCACAGTTGTATATTCAAGTGGACATAGGTGTGTACTGTCAACATCAGAAGATTCAAGCACCTGAAGTAGTTGGTCAGAATTTTTACCGGTTTTTTGAATAAGAAAATTGAATATTTATTTTAAATGGTGTTTTTTCTTTTGTGTGTGTGAAAGAGTAGAGAAATCGTGGAAGATGCAAAGTACAGAATAACTGGAAATGAAAAGAAAATTAACGTTAACGAAAAATAGAGAAAATCTAATTTCTTTTTAAATAGTTGAAAAAGATCATTAACCTATACTGGCAATACGATCAAGACAATTACATTTAATTAAATTTATTATAACGTATGCAACGAGAATTTAGGCAAAATAAATTGAAATGGAAATAAGCGATTTGTTATTGTAGAAAAAAGAGAATACAGAAAGTCTGCTAAAAGAGAAAAATTCAGATTCCAGTTAAAATTCTTAAAATTCTCCAGGCAATTTTTCGAAATTTCCTCCAATGAATAGTCAAATTTTCTTCAATTATGAGGTAAAATAAATTATAATGAAGCTAAGCGATTTATTATTGATAAAAAAAAAAAAAGGAAAATGCATAAAGACTCCAGGAGATCGAGATCGTTGCAATTTCCTTAACGAGGAACACCGAGGCAATTTCCTACGGAAGAAGTCCCAGTCGTTGTCACGCGAGGACAGTTCGATCTTTCACGACAATCATCACCGGTGAAAAGAAAAATCCTTCGTCACACGACACGTTTCCCAAAGAAGATTTACGATAATCGTAACCTTGAACTCTGGCGTGGATTAATTGCCAATTAAAATTGATACATTTCTCGAGAAAAACTGTTAGAGAAAAAAGTGCTGGTCTGATCTTTGTACTGTTGTATGCACAGATGATGGATGATCAACACACTTGTGCAACCATTTCATTAAAATGAACGTAACATTGATGAAGTTTTTTGTTTTCATAGACTGATACTTCGTGGTTTTGAAAATAAGGTACAATTTAGTCGAAGTCGAAATTTCAATTCGAAATTATTCTGATTCTTTGGAAACGAAAATGGTGCGTAGCCTTAAGCATTCGCGAGGGAAATTTTAAATGCGTATTTTTGTTTCGAAACGGTGTAATTTTTGAAAAGAACTAAGCTTCGAGTATTGGAATTTAAAAATGAAAGGACTGAACTTTAAATATAGAAATTTTCACTAATATTGGAATTTACAAAAAAGATGTCAACTTCAAATATTGGAATTTTCAAGAAGCTAAACTTTACATATTAGAATTTTCAAGAAACTAATCTTCAGATATTAGAATTTACAAGAAACTAAACTTCAGATATTAAAATTTGCAAGAAAGTAAACTTCAAATACTGGAATTTTCACAGATATTGAAATTTAAAAAAAACAAACAAACTGGAAATGTTGGAATTTTCACAAATATTGGAATTGTCAAAAAAACTAAACTTTAAATACTGGAATTTTCAGAAATCTGAACTTCAAGTATTGGGATTTTCACAAATATTGAAATTTTCGAAAAAACTAAATTTCAAATATTGGGATTTTCACAAATATTGGAATTGTCAAAAAAACTAAACTTCAAATTTTGGAATTGTCAAAAAAAAAACTAAACTTCAAATATTGGGATTTTCACAAATATTGAAATTTTCGAAAAAACTAAATTTCAAATATTGGGATTTTCACAAATATTGGAATTGTCAAAAAAACTAAACTTCAAATTTTGGAATTTTCAAAAAAACTAAACTTCAAATATTTGAATTGAAAAAGAAAAGCTAAATTTACACATATGTGCCAATGTGTCTGAAGAGATTAACAAATGACAGTTTTTCTCGTAATTCATTCTGAGATAGCGGAGCTTCTTACTCGTTGATACAAAACAGTTTATTTGCATCCACACGAGATAAGGATGGTACTGTTTGAAAGATAGGTTAATAAGTCCCGTTTTAATCCGACGAGATGTAAGAACGTATCTATATATACATGTATTTGCATGGAACACATTTGTGTGATGATCGTCACACGTTCTCCAGTATCAATGCTTCTTTATTTATGGAAAAAAAGTACAATATTTGCGGTGAGGCTTGACCACCTAGGGCGTAGATCGCAGGTTGCTGTTCGCGTTGCATATTTACGCGTCCCACTCGCATATTTATGCGGCTCGTATTGATCAATGCCACAGGAAATTACTCTACGCCAGTGATCCGGTCACGTCTTTCATGATCCACCCCTTGATCCTCTGTGAAGCTGAATTTTTAAGGGAGATGGAGTTTAATACCATCATTCTGTTATCGATAAGAATACCATCTGTTGAAATTAATGCCCTATTTTTTTTCTTTCTTTTTGAAAGTGTGGTACTCCACTTCACAACATTTAATTATAGTTTCGTAAAGAATAAGTGGAATGATTTTCGAATTTTCAAAGAGCAATGCCATTCAGTATGAAAATTCAAGACTTTCGTTCCATTAATTTCATTATTAATCGATATTACATTCAGTTTCACGAATCATTCATTCTGCTTTAAAATGTCTAAACGAAATGGAATTGAATTTTTTCAATTTTCATACAAGACTCTTCATTTGAAAATCAATGGAAGAGTGTAACTTTTAATTTTTATTTTCATTGTTGAGTAACAACACTCTTCGGTTGAAAATTCAAGTCTTCCATTCCATCAATTCTTCAATTCTACATTTTCAGGGAACAAGATCGTCTACTTCAAAGTATACAAAGAAAATGAAATTCTATTTTCTCCATTTTCACACGATTATGTGAAAATTTGAATATCAAAGGAACTCGAACTATTTTAAAATCAAAGAAAGTATAGATTAACATCGTTAACAATAATTCTATTCATTGGAAACTTTCCATTTCTATTCTCGACGAACAATACCTTTCATTTTTATTCCACTAATTAAGCCTGGGACAGCGGACGGCGGATGCCGGGTCAAATGTGATCCAATACTAAAATCTTTTCCGCACGCAAGCGAAACCAAATTTTATCTACTTTACTGGGCATTGTATTGTTTAAAATTACACAATTATACCATGATTAAAATAACGAACATATCGATAACGTAAGGAGAGGAGTCGGTTGAAACAAGACACACCTAAGAGCCGGGTGACCCTAAAGGTTAATATTAATTTTACTCGTTCTAAAGAACTTTTTACAATGAATTTCCAGAGGACAAGACTCTCTACTTCAGAACAGACGACGACTTCCTTTTAATTTTCCTACGGCCATGCAAGTTCTACGCGAAAAGCGCCTACGAGCTGATGAAGAGAGTCGCCGATTTCAAAGAAAAGAACGTCGCTCTGTTGGACAATCTGATGCCCGAAGACGAGAAGAACGCTATCCTCACTACCCACGTGGTGAACGTTCTGAAGAACCGAGATCACAAGGGTAGAAGAGTGCTCTTGATTAACCCTGGTAAATCTTGGGATCCGTCTAAAGTCAGCACCGACCAGATGCTTCGAGTCCTCTACCTGATCCACGATCTCGCCATTCTCGAACCAGAAACTCAGGTTTGTTTCCATAGAAATTGCTGGTTTTATAACAATAATAATTTCTAGATATCGTGACAGACAAGACTCCTGGTTATTTCGTTATGTAAATTACCATAAATTGGTAATTCGTGACTAGTTTCCCTTTTTGTAATAATTATTCTCCATTTGGAATTGAATAGGACCGTACCTAGCCTAACTTAACTTGGTTATATTAATTCTTTAGTCGAGATAGGCGGTTTTACTTTATTCAGACAAATCGTTTTCTTATTTTAGATCTATGGTGCAGTCGTGGTGATGGACTTCGATGGTCTGGCTATGAAGCAGGTGATGGGATTCACGCCATCTTTCAGTATGAAGCTGTTGGGCTTCATCCAAGAGTCGATGCCACTTCGTCTCAAAGAGGTTCGCGGAAATACGAACTTTTATGAAATTTTTTTCTTAGACTTAAGCAGTCGATTCACTTGAAAAATTTGTGGTTTTCGTACAATTCTATTTTTTCGAATTTCCAATTATCACGTCTATTTATTCTCTCATATTAGAGCAGCGACGAGTAATCGCATTTTTTTGCGGCAGGCCAAAATTAAAATTAACATTTGAAAATTGTTAATTTATCCGGTGCTGTTCCTCTCGAAAATTATTTTATAAATTCATATATCGCGCCAAACACAAACATCTTTCTCTTCAGCTGAAAATCATTTTTCACTTTATCACACTGACAATTTCCCATTTTAGCTAAAGTTATGGTATTGCTCGTAACATGTTTACCACTTTACTCGATGATTCGTTCCGTTAAAGTAATAAATAAATTACTCGGTTTTAACATATCGACAGAATTGCTAATGTCAATTTCTCACAGGTTCACATCGTCAAGCAACCGTTCGTCTTCAACATGGTGTGGCAGATGTTCAAGCCCTTCGTGAAGGAGAAGTTGAAGAAACGTTTGTTCTTCCACGGCTCAAAGATGGCTTCCCTTCATGCACACATTCCCCCTAGCCACTTGCCGAAGGACTATGGCGGCACCCTGCCAGAAATCGATTATAGCAGTGCAGATTGGTATCCTACTCTGGTCAAGCACGAAGATAAAATCAGAGGTGGATAACGAGATGAGATTAATTTTGAATTTCGCCAGAATCGAGGAATTAACTTTCTTCTCTTCCTCTTTTCAGAATGGAACACGTACGGTTATCGTAAGAAACAATAGACTGAAGGAGGGCAGCCAAGCACTCGAACAATGATACAATGTATGAAATATCTTCCCTCTGTGATTCCAAAGTGTTGTACAAAATATTTTAAGCCTTCGATGGATCGTTGTTGTTTTACAGGTTTCTTATAGATTTGTAATTAATTGTATACTTTTGTACAAAAGGTTACTGTTTGTGTATACTAAAAATGGTTTTCCAAAAAAAAAAAAAAAGAAAATTGCTCGTCGTGTTTTATTCGTTTTGAACATATTTTAAGATTAAAAATTAGTGTACTTTTTTACTAGAAAGTTTCTATGCAATAAAAGATAGCACGTGTCTGGTATATTAACGAACACTAGTAAAGCTAATTAAATGTGCAAATAAATAATCCATCGTACTTTTTGTGAAATTCCTGATAAAATGATTGGTTTATCGAAAAAATTTCCACCTTTGTCGTACCGTCTAATTTACTTCGGACAGTGAAATAAAAATTAGTGAGTGATTTTTAATCTAATAGCCTAAAAGTGACACTGAAAAGAGAAGTTTCGTGCAGTGATGAAATTTTCGAAAAATTCGCCCTTGGCAGAAATGACTGTCTCACACTGAATGTGTAGCAATTTAATGCGATTCTAAGATAAAGCAAAGGTGTCGCCATTGAAGAGAGTTTTCATATCGTCCAACTTTCACGCTTTGAAGTGTTTACTTACAGTTCTGTGAGCTTTCTCCTCGTTTGCTCGTGCATCTTTCGCAATCGCGATCTCGAGCGCATCAATTTTACGAAGAAACTGAATCGTAACGTTTAATTTCCTTTCGCGAAATTGCGCAACTCGATCATTATACGCCGAGACAATCCTGCGAATCGAATAATCTGTCCGAAGTATAATAATTACAACGGTACAGACACTCGTGTTTTGTATGGAAACTTTTTGAGCAGGAAATTTCCAGGAGGAAATGATCGAGTTTGCAGATTTATTCGTTTAAAAAAAAGAAGTTACAGCCAGACCAGGCGTGTAGGTATAAATTAACAAAATTGCTGAAACTCGAGGGAATCTTTATGTAACGATTCCTAACTTGACCCAAGTACCGAGTCTCGGGCAGACAAATACGTTGTGGCGCAATGACAAAACTGGGACAATAGGAAAGCTTAACATAAGATAATGACACGGAGAAATTTCTGTACAACACTCGAGTGTAACCTCCTCACTTCTGCGTTTAATTAAATAGAACGAGAAAACGAATAGGAATGATTGTAAGTATTTGAAACTTCATTGAAGATTAGAAGAGACAAATAGTTCGAAAAGATTGATTAATGCGTCGGTTTACTTACAACGTTAAGGATTTAGTAAGGAATGAAAAAGAACGGAGAAATAATTTCAACTTTCGATTGAATCAATTATGTTGAACGTTGAATTTCCAAATGCGTTAGGCTACTCGGACGAATAACTCGTCGATACCCGAACGAACGAATCAAACGCATTGAAATAAATGGAAGCGGTTATACTGCACGCATATTGCCCGTCCTATGTCGTCCGTATTCGTCCATTCGTACATACGCAGGTCGTTCGAATCAATTTGATTTTTTCAGCCGATTTGTCGCGACCGAGGATACGTGAACCAGATTTTTTCGAACGACTGACGATTGTTTATTAAGTGTTCCTTTAGTTCTGTCTACAGTTACTCTTACTAATATTCGGGCACTGTTTAGAACGGTATAACTTTTTTCAAATTGGACCAAATGACGGAGTTAAAAAGAAGAGAAAAGTTACGGAGGTAAGTTGTTACAATGGTTATAACTAGACTGCGGATTTTTGTGCATTAAAATTTACACAAAAATATACGAATAATCCTAAAATATAGTACAGTAAATTCTCTACAAGTGTCAGTCAGTTTGGATTCTACAAGTGTCAGTATAGATGGTCCTACGCCTAGGTCTGCGCCATTGCTGCGCCTATGTTATCTCGCTCGCTGTCAGAAAAATATAATTTCTTTAATTTTCCTTTTTTTTCATCTGAAATTCTTTTTAACATATTGGTAACATTTACTTATTCGCTGTCCTTGTCTACGTTCGGCAAACTACAAAGGCGTAGTCCCTGACTCTACAAGTGTCAGGTTTAGATTCCTTGCGGACTGACACTTGTGGAGAATTTTCTGTACTTGGTACGATATTTAGCGAATAAAACAGTTGCCTGTCTAGCTTCTATTCTTTTAACTATATTCGCGAAAATTTGAATTTGCATAAAAATCCGCAGTCTAGTTGTAACTTTAAAACGAAAAGAGATTTCGATTGTTTTTGCCATGTAATTCGATCACGCCACTCTGTCGTACATTTTAATAGCATCTGCAAGTGCAATACATTTAACAATAAATTAGTTAATAGTGAAGAGAATAACTGCATTGTTTCTCGGTCATTTTTGATATTTTCCCAAAATTGTAACTTTTGGTCCCAGTCTCCTCTACTAGACGAAGCGTACAAAAAATTTGAAGAAAATTGCAATTGCTCGGAACAGACAAAAAAATAGTGACGATCATTTTTGACAACTCTTTTATACGAGCCCGTAATGAAAATTTGAAGCGTATGATTTACAGATTTATGTCAGTTATGTACATGCACCCCAACGAGCTGGTTACTTCTCTAATCGATAATGAAGGGGAAATCAGAAGACTCAAAATTCTAATTGATTACTTCTAATTGACAATCATTATATACGCAATGCTGAAGGAACACCACCAAGGATGTCCCTTCACGCACGACACGCCAGATTACATCAAATCTGCCGGTTGGCCTAAAAAGAGGCCAGTTGTAGATGTATTATTATTAATAAAAAAAAAAATGATGTTATGTACATGCTGAGAATTTCATCGAAATCGGTTAACGTTGCCAAACGGTTAAAAATTGTAAAAATGCCAGTTTTTCACGACTTTCGGCCTGTAACTGTAATAAATCTAAAATCTGTCCTTTCCGATGAAATTTGAGAATTTTTCAATGTTTGTAAATTCTCAGCATGTACGTAACTGACATAGATCCATGTAACGTACGTTTTAAATTTTCATTACAGGCTCAGATAAAACAGTTGTAAAAAGTGATCTTTCGGCTATTTCGACAAATTGCAATTTTCTACAAATCTTTTGTACGCTTCATCTAGCAGGTACACCAATCCTCCGGTCGTTTGGTCCAATTTAAAAAAAGTTACACCGTTCTAAACGGTGTCCGAATTTTAATAAGAGTAACTGTACGCAGAATATAAAAAGATGTTCCAGGATTTATTACGAAATACCCTCGGATTTATCTGATTGATTCAAGAGATCTTTAAACAAATTACGATATTCTCCATTTTCCTCGTCCAAAGAGAACGTTTTATTTTCTTGTTTTAATCTATCCTTTATTGGTCAGATTTTTAGTAAAGGATTATCCAAGAAGCAGTAAGAATCTGTCCATTTTGTACAATATGTATCGTAGAACTGACTATTAAATCTTCAATAAATTGTTACTGAATTAGTTGTTTCCCTTTACGACTTGTTATCCTTCAATTGGGAAAACAAAATGACCTGGCGATCATTCAGAAGAGATATATTAACGCATAATTGAAGGATTCCGTGCAACATTTTCAGAAATTAAGCATCCAATAAGTTCGTGCCGAAAGCGAAATGTATTTTAATGAAAATCCAAGGAAATTCTACAGCAACGATATCATGGCCTTACAAAAAGGAAAATAGGAAAAAGTAGAATGAGAAGGCACTTACTTCTTTTTTTCTATCAAATTTAAAGGTTCCCTGGAAATATTGATCTAAATTATAAAATTCGACATGAACTTGTGGGATGACCTAGCACATAATTGCTGTTGACGTTAGAGCAATCCTAAGCAACACTCGACACGGAGAAAAAAGAGATTAAAGAAATAAAAATTATTATTTTAAAAATTACTTTCCACCAATGCATGCTCAAAATACTCATTCCTACATTTCATTTGTACATACACCATCTTCCTCAACAGTAATTGAATAATAGTTCGATACAACTGGTCACAAAAATATACTGTTTGCTTCTTGAAATGTTTTCATTTGAAACCTTCATTCCCACGTTTTATTTGTACGCATGCAACATCTTTCTCGACAATAATTGAACGATAATTGAGTGAAACAGGTCTCATCCCTTGAAAATGTTACTTGTTGCTACTTGAAACATTTCAATCTGAAACCCTTCAATCATCTTCGTCGATCCTGCTGCTCAAGGTTGACGAAATGTCAGAATTCCCATCTTGCATATCGTTATCATTATCACCTACTTCATTATTTTAGATTCCACGTGTCGTCCTTTCCCTCGTATGCTTTCAATTGAAATTCCAATGAATACCAGGAAAAGAAGAGTCAAGCTGAAACACGGCACGACATTCACGTGTAATCGGCAGATCACGGCCGCGGAAGGGCGCGAGGAATGTGCACAGGTCAATTCTCAATTATAATATTCGCATCTTGACACCGCGTGTATACCGCACACAGACAAAAACCTCCAACCAGCCACTTTGAAATTTAATTGACCGCGTCCACTACAAAGGATAACCTCCATTGTGTTTCCCACTGTCACGAACACACCGAGGCAAAGGTGGGAGAAACGCTCTCACTTTCCAGCCGATTTCCGACTCGCGAGTCCTGCTTCGAACGCAGTCTTCACCGGTGTCTCGGCCACGTTGGATCATCCTGTGTTCACAAAACCGTATCCTCTTTCCGTGTACACCAGTGCACGCTTGTTTCGAGGATCCGTGTGCCCGATACCGGACACGCTGTTTTTTCGCGCAGAAACCGTGAAATGACATCGTGCAGCACGATCAACAGGACACCGTGAGAAAAGGATACTAAGAAGAGGAAGCAGGGGTAAATTGAACTGTTGAGAGAAAACTCGATCTGCGGAAAGAGGAGAAATTATACCGATCAGACGTTTTCAGAAGTTCTGTTGAGTGGAACTAACGCGAAAGTGGACTTAACGATCAACTGGTATTCAGGTATGCTGATTAAAGAAAGATTTTTCAGGCTTTCTTCTTCTCCCTTTAATCGAGCTGCAACTGCTGTGCCGTAAAGTGGATTCCGCTTGTGCAATTTTTCCGGGGGGGAATTTTCAATACTTCCAAGCTCAGGATAACTTTCTTTCATGTTTTTCATTTGCACGTGTTTCCAGGGAAATCTTGCGGTCACCTAGATCGAGCAACTTTTTCGTTTCGTACAGGAGAGCTGACGGAAAATTTCGACAGTCGAATATAATTGGGAGATAAAATATTTTGCAGTATTGCTCGCGAAACCGTTCGTTGGAAAAGAAGAGGTCAGTTACGAGAACGACGATGTAACAATGATAAACAAAAGCAGACTTTCTCCGGAAAATTTGAATTTCCAATGCGTCGAAAAAAAGAATCGATGTGATTCGTGATCCTGGTGAATGTACAAGTAGGAAACGTCTTATTTACATTTTGTTAGGCTTGAAAACGGTGCAAGTGCATGAATGATAGGAGGTGTAAGATAGACAGCAAAGTTTGTCCAGTACATCACATATCGTGTACACTCGTTAGATACTGGTTGGACTGTTTAATTATCTTATCTGGCGGGGAACTCGTCGGATTAGGATGAGTACATAAGTAATATAAATAGGCAGATTGTGGACAGTGCACTTTGTACGGCGTTGATTTTCAAACGAATCGATCGACTGGCTAATTAAACAGATCGAGGATAGATAATGACCGTAAGAATTCCCTCGTAACAGTGTTTACGTGAATTGAACTGTATTTTGTATTCGTCATGGTTAACATAACTAATGGAGCACGAATGGCATTGAAATAGTCCTAGCAATTAAACAACAGTTTGCAGACAGGTAATTTGGTATTCATTTCAATTATTAGGTTTACACGAAACAAACTCTTATAAATATTGAAGATATTCTAAGCACGACACTATGACTAACTCTTACATATTTATTCTACTCGACAAACATTCGTAGTACACCTTATGTCGCACTACATTGTCACAAACACGCCCCTTGTTGGCATAGCTGATAATCAACAGAAGAAAAATTGCAAATTTCAAATCTCCCACGAATTTAACGTTCCGAAACTTTCAACAACCCCAAAAGTCGAATTATTGTCGAAGAAAGTTCTCCCATCGACACAAATAATTACAAATAACTCTTCCCAATTTCAATTTCAAATTTCCCGCCACTTTAATATCGAAGGAAGAAACACCCCGTTAATGGAAACTGTTTTTAATTTTAACAAATGTCTGCAAATTTCAAATCTCCCATGTATTTAATACCCAGGCCTTCGAACAATTTCTTACCAACCCAAAAATGAAATAATCGTCTAACAAAGTTTCCCTGTCGACACGAATAATTCCAAATAACACTCTACTCAATTTCAATTCAAAATTCATCACGGTACATTATCCACCATGTTGAAGAACAAACACCGTTCAGAGAAATCAAAGAAATGTATTATTTAATTCCTTTATAACATATCTGAACATTGCAGTCAGGTGTACACACGAACAACACACAAGCATATGACACACACACCAATAACCACCATCACCACCACAACAACAACAAAGAATTTTGAGGAAGATCGTCGAGGAAGAAGGAGAGATAGATCGTCTGTGGTTCGTCTAAAATCAGCTGGTTCATCATGTATGTCCGACAGATCGATCTAGTAAGCTCGCAAAAGCGGCTTGCCAGTGACTCTATGGAGAAACAAAAGGTCTCGGAGCACAAGATCACGAGGACAATGGACGTGCCACAGCTGAAGCTGGGCAACTACGTGTTGAAGGCTGAGTTCGACGACCCCGATGAGTTTTTCAGGGAGAAAGCAAGGGACGAGCTACGAGAGACGCCCGAGGTTGTTCAACAGGCACTGAAGGACATCAGGATGTTGCTGAAAGGTAATGGCTGTTGCTGGAAGTGGCCATTGGTGGCGCCATGCGATCATGGTGGCAGCATGGCTACGTGCATGGTTGCTTGAGTGGATCTCTGGTGAAAAGAATGACTTTGAACGACTGGAGAATTTGTTTTGGAATTTCAGGATGGATGTCAGGGTTTCGACTGAAAGTGGACGTTGTGGAGGTTATGGCAGTGTGGATGATTTTATGGGAAATGGTCGGTACCACGTTTGAGAATTTGTTGATTTGTTGGTGCTGAATGACTGGAGAATTTACTTTGGAAGTTTCGGATGGATGTCAGGGTTCAGCTTGAAAGTGGACGTTGTGGAGGTTATGGCAGTGTGGATGATTTTATGGGAAATGGTCGGTACCATGTTCGAGGATTTGTTGATTTGTTGAAGTGCAATTGACAGGAAATTTTTCTTAGGAATTTTTAAGAAGGGTTCAAAATCACGACGATGGAAGCTGCTGAGGTAATGAGAGTATGGATGAATTTGTGGGAAATGGTCTGCGTCGTGCTTTGGGATCTGTTGATTTGTCGATTTTCAATCGACAGAAAATTTTGCTTGTGAATTTTCACGAAGGGTTGAAGATCGTGGTGGAAGTTATGGGAGGAGTGTGAATGGAAGATGGATGGTTAGTATCGTGTTTTAGGGTATGTTGGTTCGAAAGTTTGGGAAAGTTTGTTTTCAATCGATAAGAAATTTGTTTAGAAATTTCTGAAGGGAGTTGAAAATCACGGTAATACAAGTTGCAGAGGTTGTAAGGTGAGTGTGAGGGTGATTTTGTGGAAGATAGATGGTCAACATCGTATTTTAGGATCTGTTGGTTCGAAAGTCTGGGAAGGATTGTATTCGATCCAAAGGAAATTTTCATAGAAGTTTAAGAATCGTGATAGTGGAATGTACAGACGTTGAGACTTAATTTAACACGTTAAGCGCCATGTCAGTCACCGGCGACTGACGTTATTCTTTCCGTTCAGGCCGCGTCAGTCACCGGTGACTGACAGTATACTTTTCGTTGGTCGTCTTCTGTTTACAGTTCGCATGGCCCACTTGACGGCCAAGTGTGGCCTGAACGGAACGGTAAGCAAAACAGAGGCTAGGCGTTTAACGTGTTAAGGGCAATTTGACGAATACCGTTAACAAACGTTGGTTTTAGCTTGAAATTTCTGGGAAATATTCGAGATTACGTTGGAGCTCGAACAGTGTGCGCGGGCTTTTATGAATAGAAGGGAAGTATAGATTTCGGTTTGTTCGAAGAAGTCTGAATAGCAAGAGATGAACGGATAATCGATCGGAGAAATAAATAGAGGAGGGCTCGAACGCTTTTTTAGGTTCTTTGTCATTCTGTTGTTGGAGCTAGGTGGAGAGAAGCAAAGGAGGAAAAATATTTTTGTACTCATGATTCATTAGGGTACAGGAGCGCGAGAAGAAGCTTCCTCTGTGCAAATACTGAGCAAACACATCGCAATGCGGGCCTTCCTTTGCTTGCTTTACACTTCACTCGTTGATATTCTCTTTTAAATTAGAATGGAGATTTGAACAGGCACAAAGAACTGTTTCAGAGCTTTCGATCGACGTCTAATCTAATAAAAAATTTAAAAACTCGATCCTCATCTGCACTAAGATAAGAAAAAGAAAAAGGGGGAACGACATTATCCAGATTTTGATAATCGAAAGAAAATTCAAAGTCTAAAATAATCAATCCAAATAATTGACAGAGGAGCAATCACGTTCGTTCGTTAAATTCGATAACCGTTTTTATCATTTATTAATCAGATTGAATCGGGGTCTCTTAATCCTCGATAAATATTCTCCAACCTAGTCGATTAAAAGACAAATAAATATGATTAAATATTTCACAAAGATTGAATCTACTCGAGTGAAAATCGAAGCGATTCTATAATCGAATTATAGTTGAAATTAACTCGACGTTTTTCTAACGACCGTTCCCATAACTGAGAGTGGAACTCCACGAGCAATTCAACAGTGTCGAGATGTGACCATGCTGAATTCGCTCATAATGTTCAGAACCGGTCGAGTGAAAACGAAAGTTTCACTCTCCAAATGTAGCTTAAAGGAAGACGATAGAAATTGCACGTGATACTTCTGGCAAATAATTGAATAGAAATTTACGACGTTTTTGTGCAACGATAAAATGAATATTCAGCGAAATCTCAGGAAATTACACGTTCGAAGGGTTCCTTTATTTTCATTTAACAAATCTCAGAAAATAGCACGTTACAAAAACCAAAATTAGTCCACTTGTCGTGGAGAATTTAATTTTCTTCCCTCGTGACGATGAGAATCAACAAAAACAGGCGTTTTTGTGAAACAATTTCCTCTTCACGCTAATAGCGGATAATCTAAGCGTGCAATGATTGATTGTTACGATCATATGTAACAGCTCGTTTTATCGCTCGAAATTGTAATGTAGCTTCTTACGCAAAAAAGTAACGAGTATAATTACAGAGTATTAAGCTGCTTGTTTTCCATCCTCAGACGAGCCAGAGCTGAACGTGCCGGATGACGATGAATTTTACCAGAAGTTCCTGCGACCTTGCAAATGGTATCCAAAAAGTGCTTTCGAGCTTGTAAGTAAAACTCTGTTTAATTGAAATGAAAATAAACACTAAATCACATTTCCAAAATTCTCTTAATTTCACAGATGAAAAGGTTCTACCAGTTCAGGAAGAACAACCCGCGCTACTGTTCCAAATTATTACCCAGCACCGAGAAGAAGGTTTTGTCATCAGAAATTGTAATACCGTTGCCGGAACGCACGAAAGATGGTTGCAGATTGCTTTTAATTAACTCAGGGAGGAAATGGAATACTAAGGTCGTCAGCATCGACGAGATATTACGATCTGTTATGCTGTCGCTGGACGCGGCCATGGCTGAGCCCAAGACACAGGTACGTATCAAATACAAACAAATTCTTACAAACGACAAGGAACACTTTGACAATTTTGTCGATCATTTTATCGTCCCATTTGGTAATTAATGGTAAATAATTAATTTGCACGCGAAATAATAAGAAAATAATTAAATAGAAATGAAAGTTTCACGGAAGTGGTCGGAGATAGTTTGGAAACGACAAGTTATGCATTATGACCGAATGTATAATAGACCGCGCGACACCGTCCTTCCGGACGCATATTTGGTGTCTATAGGGGACGGCGCTCGCTCCAAGTCGACACGCGCCACTTGGTCAAATTTCTCCGAGTACCATTGTCCACGCCGGATGGTTCGTCGCCGAGACAAGTTACCATTGTACACTGCCACTCAAAAGTTTAGGACGATTTATCAACTTGCGCTAATATCGAATCCACCGATCTTTCATAGATTTGCAATCAAAGTGTCACAGGTATCGATAAACAATTTACTTGGATTTGCTAGATTTGGTTTAACGAAAGATTGATTCGACGTTTCTCAGATTTATAACGTTCTTCTGAATATCCTTGCAGTACACAGGTGTCCGAAACTTTTCGGCAGGCGTATATGTTGCAATCCACAAGTTGTTGACCTTCTTGATTCATATTTGGCGTCTATGGAGGCCCTATAGAGGAAGCCTCGTTTGAAATGTATAATTCGACGTGTATTACGTCACTGAACATTCCTCCGCCATAAATTCTTCGCCTCTTTAACCCCTTAACGCTCACACGTGCACAAGTAATCCTCCGATAACTGCAATTTTGTTTAATTATTTTCTCTCGTTTTCCGTATTGCGTTACGCTTTCTACTATGGCAAACATGTAATAACAGAAACTTCCTTCTACACGCGCAGGAAATAATTTAGAAGAAGGTAAAGCTGACCATTTTTGGCATATCAAGTTGAAAGAAATGCGCGCGTTAAGGGGTTCATTTCGAAGGATTGCTTAAAAATTTGTCTGTCTTCTGTTTCAGATCGGTGGTGTACACGTAATGTTGAACATGGACGGTTTCACGCTGACCCACGTGACACATATCACCCCAACATTCGCTGCTACAGTGATGGAATGGGTTCAGAGGAGTTTACCCTGTCGTCTGAAGGGCATCCACGTGGTGAATCAACCTTTCATATTCAACATGGTCTACGCCATTTTTAAACCTTTCTTGATGGTAGATATTTCAGACGATCACTTTTTGTATGAAAAATTTTGCACTTGATCGAAAGGTGGTACAATAGGACGCCCTATAACGCGGGAGATATGTTCCGCTTTCTACGAATATCGTATAAAGAGCGCAGGAAGTTAGAATTAACCCCTTAACCTATAACAACGAGTCACACTCGTGACAAAGATTTGATATGTTCCGCTTTCTACGAATATCGTATAAAGAGCGCAGGAAGTTAGAATTAACCCCTTAACAACGAGTCACACTCGTGACAAAGATTCCAGTCAGGATATGTTAATAAGAAAAATTAATCGCAATCCTGACTTTCGTTTGAATTTATAACACTGAGAATTACTAAATGTAGTTAACCCCTTAACCTATGATTTCTTTTCTGACAGTGCATCTAAGCGTCAGCCATTTACTGTTCTACTACTGTGTCAGGTAACGAAAGCGAACCTGTTACGGATTAATAACATTTAGTAATCCTCAGTCTTGCAAATTCAAACGAAAGTTAGGATTACAATGAATTTTTCTTACTAATATCACTATTTTTCTCACATCTTGACCAAAATCTTTGCCACGAGTCCGACATGTTGCTATAGGTCAAGGGGTTCACCTACAACAGATTAGCTTTTGTTATCTGATACAGCACTAAAACACTAAACGACTGACCCTTAGATGCACAGTCAGAAAAAGATCATAGGTTAAGGGGTTAAATACGAAGTATTTTTTATATATCAGAAAATAACATGTATTTTATTGTTTTCTTTAAACAGCAGAAACTTGAAATTTTCTTCATTATATGTACGTATATATGTGTGGAGTAATTTAAAATCGCGTTACAGGGGGGGAAGTAGCAATTTTTTGATGACCTTAACCCTTTCGTTACTATTGGCGACAAGGGTACTTTGAAAATTTACTCACACTGTACAGTTCGCGCCTTTTGGCGCACCTCTAGTCTGATTGAACCCTTAATTTCAAAACGATGCAGCCGTGATTAAAAATATACCGTCAGTCATCCACGTTACGCGTTAAAATCTGCCGTAGCGATAGGGTTAAGGTGCGTTCGAACCAAACGAACGAATGCTCGTTCATTCCCCGCTTCCAAAAATTCTTCGTACATTCAGCAGTACGTTTACGCTTGTTTGGACTTGAATTTTGTCGAAGTGGAAGGGGGTTCCACTTGTATTTCGATTTCGATGTCGAACGATGTTCGGCGTTTAACTACTATCCGCCAGAAACCACGGTTTTCGAGCGGACACAAAAGCGAATTTGAATGGCAAAAGAATCCCGTGAAATGGAAAACAAGGAAAGAAGAGTAGCTGCTAACGAAATAATTCAGCCCGCCTCTTTGTCTCGAATATTTAGCACAGTTGGCCTTTGATCGAGAGCCAAGGTGAAAGCAACGATCCAAACATGCTAATGGATTTTTTTAATCACCGTTTCTCATGTATTCATTTAGATGGATCAACATGATTCGCTGTTATTCCTCCTTTTGTCGTGATATTGAACTAAACACCACTCCACCTTTCTCTTCTCTTTCTTTTCACAGGAAAAAACGCGCAAGAGGCTCCATTTCCACGGTACAAACAGGAATACCTTGATCTCTCATCTGGGAACGAAATGTCTACCCGTTGAATTTGGAGGAGAAATGGAGATGCCTACCGAACCTATTGGTCAGAGTGTCTGTGACTATTTCTGCTGGTTCGAGAAGAATTTCGAGGGTAATTATACGAATTCTTCTTTTTCTACTTTTCTAGGGATTTCACGACGATTTAACCCTTTCACTGGATCTATACGTCAATTCCTCTTTTAAATATAAATCCTAACTAAATTATATGCTTCTTAAGCTATTCATAAATGAATCAATTTTCAAATCAGCTACTTTTCAACTATGTTCGTTCCTCAAAATTATACGAATTTACGAAGTTGTTTCCTGCGAACGCGTATGTATACGAGTCCATTGTCCTCGGAGGTGTAAAGGATATTTATAAAATTGTCACTACAGCTTACTCGTCAGAAAACGGATGTTACAATTGTATATGGAACGGATGCCCCTATTTTTACCAAACGATTGCAAGAGCAGAAAAAGCGAACGTTGCATCGCGTATTTGCAAAATTGTCGCCGTATAAGCGGATATTTCGTTGTGTCGCAATCGGTTGTGTCGCACTTCTGTCAAAGTAGGGGGCTGTTTTCATCACCGAATGAATTTTTACGTTCAAACGTGGCTGAAACTCGTGCCGTTTGCGTAATTACGCACCAGTTTGTGTTATGTCACGGATTTGAGTTGCGCAACCATCGCAGCGTGTATAATCTTCCCCGTGCACGGCAAATGCTGATTGCCCCGCCGCGCAACTTCGTCCACGGATTACGTCACAGGATTTAATTAAAGCCTCGCGGAAAATCGTGTGCCACCTTGAGCTGTGTGTCTTTTTATCGTTTGTCTTTAAGATCGCGTTTATCTAATTAGGAAAATAATTTTACACCGACTTCGAGGAATTTTTGTGAGGGATCTGAAGAAGCTTCTTCGAAGTCTCTTCATTCTTTCAAGGGCTAGAAAAATGGTCAATGGTTTCAGATTCTTTGCAACTTTTTTTTTAGTTATACTGACAGTGAAGTTTGGAAGTGATTTTTAATTTGATTAGGATCGATTCTTTTTTCTATAACACGTTAAGCGCCAGGCCTCTTTTGTCTTCCTTTCCTTTCTGTGTAAGGTTGCGATAAGACTGCATGTGTTTTAATAATACTCGTTAAAATTTTTGTTTGGTAACAAGTAATATTTAGGTTCACTCTTTTACGATCTCCGAATTATTTAAAATTTATTAATAGAAGAATATAATTTTTTAAATTGTATATCGTCAGTCAACAGTGACTGACGCGGCCCGAACGAAAAGTATACTGTCAGTCACCGGTGATTGACATGGCGCTTAGCGTGTTAACCCTCGTACGACGAATGCAGGGTCGTTTTGACTCGACAGCGATAAAGTCAGGCGGCTCAGATTATGTTTGGTGCAGGAAATACACCTATTTTACGTACCAAGTGTAAATAACCAAGGAAAATATAAAATATATACAGGGTGTCCCAGTATTGACGGTACAACCGTGGTGGAGGTGATTCTACATGAGAAAATAAGTCGAAAATATGGAGTAAATGTTTTTCAATCGAGGCTTCGTTTTCGAGAAAATCGACTAAATTTTCTTCTAGTACGCATGCACACACAAATTTATATCCGATTCCTTCTTGAAGCCCGTGAGCAATAGAAATTTTGCTACGGGTCAAAACGACCCCTGCATTCGTCTCCCGTGTCCGTCTGAAACCATTCGCCTTCCGAGGGTTAACTTATGATTGGCTAATTTTCATTTCACGTTAACAACACGAGGAAAAGTGTACGATTTACGTTAACCGCGGGTTTAGGCTAATTTTACCCTAACCTGCGACGAGTTTTGCAAGTACAATCGGGGTAATAATAGTCCTCGAGCGTTCAGAACTGCTTATCGGTCTGGACAATCCGTGTTTGCGTGGAACTTTTCACGCGGTAATGCTTAATTTTCGATTTCTTTTGCAGAGTCGAATACGTACGGATATACCTGTTAAGTGTACAAAATAATAAGCGAGCGTCTGCAATGGACGATCAACCTCACACGATCAATGTCGAAGCGTGACGAAGTAACGAGATCTCGCGATTCGCGTTTTTTATCGACACGAAACGAAGAGAACGGGGTAAAAGTGAGAAACGAGATGAAAGCGAACGTCTCGTGTTCGTTGTCATTGCGATAGATAGGAAGATAAATGGATCATATCGGAATGATAACAATTATTCTTTCTTCTTCTTTTTTTTTTTTTTTTTTTTGTCATTATCGATAGATCAATTCTTGAAATTTCCTTAGGTGAAAGAACGATTCTCGATGAACATTGTTATCCATCATTGTTACTCGATCTGCTAGAAAGTTTTCATTCTCGAAATCAAATATACAACGATTTGTGATAAACAACATATGATACACGTGATTTGTTGTACAATTGATCAATTGTAAAAGAATATTTAATAAAAAGAAATTATTCTGAAGAAAAACAGCTTCGACGACGGTACGAGTAATTATTCATTTTAATAATATCTTAAATATTTGCGTATTTTACACACCCTTTTAATTTTCGTTCCACGAACTGATTCATTTTCGTAGTAAATTAACTAATTAATCGACAATACCATAGGAATCTTAAATTACGTGTAAATTTGAAATCAAACAGTACAATTTGAACAACATTATCAAGCAAGATTTATTACACTCTCCACGATCCTTTTTCTCTCGTGGTGCGTTGCTTTCGGAAAATAGTGAAAAAATTCTCTTAATATCTAAGAAACAAGGATACCTAACAAGGTAATTCAATTACTTTTTCTTATGGTGATCCAGACCGATTGATCTGTGCAACAGACTGTAACATTTTTCACTTCTTTCCATGCTTCTTACAAAAAATATCGTTAATATCGTAGAAAGTCAACTAGAGATTATTCGTCCATAAATAAGTTATACACCGAACTTGAGTCGTAATACCGACGAAACAACCCACAGCCGACATCGTTCCTCGAAAATCGTTCCTTAGCATCGATCCTCGACAGAACGATCGTTCTTCTTTGTCCATCCTTGAAGGCACATCGAAGTGGACGAATTATTTCTTGAAACCGTACGAGTTGATCGCTGAAAGAAGTAAGAAAAAGAATTAATCGACAATTATTAACTGTTAAACGTTAGAACAATAATTAATAATTGTTAAAATAAGAATTATACCTCCTACTTTCAACAATAACGCGATTCGTTAATTTTCTTAATGATATTCTCGTTTGGAATTGAAGAAAGCATGAGGAAAATGGAAGAAGAAATGTATATTTGTTGCATAAAAGTATCGTTTATTTCGATTAGAAGATATAATTAATTCACTGTTTTCATACTCATAGTTCGTACCATCGTATTCTTTGTCGCACATTAATAACAACGACAACCATTGCGGTCCTGTTACGCGTTCAAGCTGCAGAGTTCCTCCGTAACACGCCGGCAGACATTTCGGTGAAATGTACTGGTGCAACGATTTGCGATCTGTGCCATGGAAGATGATCTGGAAAGAGGAAGTTATATATTGAAGTTACGTGAGAGACTTTTTCATTAATTTAGTTCACTTCTGATTTCCTCGAGAATAAAACAGAACTCTTCCTAAAATTGATACTATAAACACTGACACCCTCGTCTTCTTTCTTCGTGCAATGTTATTGCTCAAAAGTTTCGTGTCTTTTCCCATTTCTAAATACAAAACTGAATTCTGCAATAAAAAATACTACTTCCATAAGTATTCAACTGTTACGAGGTGGATTGAAAAGTTCGCGGCCTAAGTGGGAAGAACTGCTGTTAGGTGCTTGCAATTTTTACGGTGCAATCTGCGATCGTTTGTGTACCGACGTACGAAGTTTCGTGGCTCTGTCAGTTTTTCGTTCTCTTTTACAGCTGGCGAAGTAGGGGCGTTTACAGCGACGGAGAAGAGACGAATAGAAGCGAGGAATGATCCAGTACCTGGTGACAAAGGACACCACCGCAAGGACCTCGAATGATTTTCGCAAGGACTTGGAATAATTTTTGCAAGGTCCTTGAATGATCTTCGAAGTGAGGTCCTTTACCTTCAGGTATTGGATCGCTGTACGTTTTCTAATTTTGTCCATCTCCACTCCATCTACTGCAAATACCTCTACTTCACTATGCTCTAGAAAAATGACGACAGAGACACGAAAGTGTATACATTAGTACACAATTAATTACATATTATTCGGTAAAAATGACAAGCATTTAGCTGCAATCCTTCATACTTAGGCCACGAACTTTCCAATCCACCCTAGTATAATAGGCAAAAAATAAACCCTCGTCCTTTTTTTCCTCGGCTCCTCTTTAATAAAACCAAATAACTCCGAGATTGTAAATGTCAGACGTGGAAATATTGAAATCAATTTCAACTCGAGTACTCAAGTAGAAAGTATGTGTTTCACTGATCACGAAAGGGTTAAAATTTCTTTCAAACACTTCCTTTCTAACCCTCGGACAGCGGATGGCGTGTTTGACGCACGCACCGCGGATGCCGGGTCAAATATGACCCAACGCTAGAATTTCTTTCGTACGCAAACGAAGCCACGTTTCTTCATTTGATTAGGCATTATATCGTTTAAAATTATGAGACAGATATGTGGAGAGGAGAGTCGTGACACTGTTCAGAAAGTCGGTTGAGACAGGGGACATCTAAAATCCGGGTCAGAAGTGACCCGGCCTCCGCCGTCCGAAGGTTAATAGAACCAGATAATTGCAAATGTGGAAAAATTTTGAAAAAACCTCGACAAATTCTCAACTCACCCTACTCTTCAATTTCTCCCTAAGGAACGGTTTGAACAACGCGAACACCATGTTGAACACGTACGGTTGATTAACGATATGTATGTTCTTCACTCTGAGTGGCACAGCGTCCTGCAGCCAGTCCACTATTCTTTTAGCAAACGGCGGCGTGAATTGCCAAGTTTGCTGAAGACTGAGTCCGTCCATGTCGAAGATCACGATAGCACCTGCGATCTGAGTAGCTGGTTCCAACATGGCGGCCTCTAGATAGAGCACACAACCTTTGAACACCTCGTCTAAGTTACACTTATTGTGCTTCCATTTTTTCCCCAATTCAATGATCAATATCCTTCGTCCATGTTGATCTCGGTTTGGCAACACTTGCAGAATATTCTGTTCGAAGATATTTTTCTCTCTGCTAGGCTTCAAATCCTTGTACACGTTCGAGTGTTTCTCTTTGAAGTTGTAGTAATTCTTGACCAACTTCAGCGCTGACTCTGGGTAGTATTTGCACGGCCTGAGGAATCGGATCAGCCAGGCCTCGTTCTCCAAAGGTATCTTCAGATCTCTCTCCGCTGTTGAGGATTGAAGATAATTTAAAATACGCGATCGACTGTTAAATGTTTAATATTCGCGTAATAGTTTAGAATAATATTATCTCCTAGGTTTGTCTCGATCACTGTAAATTTCAAATTACCTCACGTTAATTGGTTTTTTGCCAATTTCTTTTGCTTTGTCTCCAACTTTGCTTGTGAACAACTCTACTTACTTAATGTCCGCTAATATTTCAGCTAATATTTATTATAACATAATTCTATCATTAATTTCCATGAGAGTACGTTGGATCTTATATTTTGTAAACACATTCTTGTCTCTTGTACTGAAACTATCTTCTTTTTGTATAATTGTGTTACCGCCGTCGTAAGGATACTCGTCACATATAGTATTAATATATTGTATTTGTAATGGAAATTTATTTCCGCCAATCAATTTAAATAAATAAATAATGGAACTCTTGAAAGTCTTGGTAATTTTCAAAGTCTTGAAAGCTTCGATAAGACTTGAGAGCTTGGAAACTTGGTGAGTATTCAGTATCTTGCAAACATTTTGAATGCCTTTACACAAGCAGTATCGTTGACATAAAATACATAAAAGCTTTGAAGACCTATCAAGACTTCCAAGATCTATCAAAGCTTTCAAGAATTTCAAGACTTCCAAGGTCTACCGAAACCTTACAGACTCAAGATTCAAGACTTTCAGGAGTTTCAAGTATCGAATTAGGTTCGAAGAGATTCGAATTTCCACAGTATTAAAAAAATTCGAATCCCTTTGTAAGTGTCTTCAATGGATAGGAGGATAGTGCGTGTATCTGGGTTGCTTAGTACCCACACAGTAAGTTCTTTTAAAGTCTTTACTAATTAGCTGGCTCGCGAGGTTTACACTTGACTGCCTACCGCTTACCCTGACTGACTGACTTCCAGTCACCTCGCGAGCTTCTTTCTCACCCTCTTCTTTTTCCTGATTGGTTACTCCCAACGTATCGGTCGCAACCAATCAGGAATTTTGTCTTTAACCCGCCGCTAGTCCTTTGCGCGCTTTTTCCAGGACCGCGGCGAATTATGGTGGGGGCGTATTGTCCGCTGTAGCGCATTTGGCAGCGCATTTTCCTTCAGGTTCGGTACTTGAGACATGTGGCCCGGGCCTCTGGGCCCGTACGCGGACCTTTCGGCAACCCTTGGTTTATGACCTGGCAAATTGCTATTGAGACCGTTGATGGAAGTTTCTACGAAAACATGCATTGCTAGATTTACTAAACATTAAACAGACTAAAACGGTTTTCTCAAAAATAGCTTTGTTGAACCGTGTTGGTCGTCCGCGCAGCAAATGCTTGCTTCTGCACTACAGCTGGTCGCCACACCTTCAAAATTGAGATTCAGATATCCCTCGCTAAGGTAAAGGTATCAGTAGTTGACCAATTTTTAGAGAAACGTATAGTTGGAGCCACGATATAGCGAGGTCGTAAATTAAACTCTCAAGAATCGGCACTCAAGGCCGTGTGTTGCAGTCTGTTTGAGGGTTCCAACAATAAACGAATGGTAGCATATGATTTGGTACTTCAAGTAGAAAATGGTATTTCATTTACAAATGGAAAATATGTTAATATTAAAGCTACACAATCCTTTTGCATTTTCTATCTGTATATAACACGAGCAGGTAAATGAAGATGTTAAAGACCTCAATAAGACCTTTACTTGTAACCGTACTTCCAAAAGCGGCTTCCCCCAGAGGGAGAAACCCTAATTTGTCCTAGCTGCATGCAGTTTTCAGTAAATATATTAGAATCAGTTTGACTTTCGCTGGATACAAGAATTCTTCGTACGGTCCTGACAATGGTTTCAAGTACTTATCTGCTCGTATTTCTGTCAATTTCGGGGTCCCGGCAGCTAAAACATGTTTACTTTGACGCCTAACCGATTTTACGACCTCGCTATATCGTGGCCCCGACTATACAAGTGGACACCAGTTTTAACTTTTTGGGTGTCCAGAGACAGTTCCATA